CCCCAAAACCCCAAAACCCCAAAACCCCGAGTGAAGATAGAGGTTTTGAAGTTATGAATAATATAAAATTTAAAACATGGAAACTCGAAACGGCAGTAATCCAACCCTAGATATGACCACTTCTGAAATCATAATTGCTGATATTCGTAAAAGGCTGAAGGAACAAGAAATGGATATTACCTTCTACTACTACAACTATTGGACTGTTGAGGCTGGTAGAGAAGGCACTAGAGAAGAGATCATTGTCAAAGATGTCATTACACTTGAGAACAAAGAGAAGTAAATCCTTTGAACTAATCTCTAGGTTTGAGAAAATTATCAAAGAAGCAGTCCACAGAAATTACGAGGATGGGGAAGGAGAATCTGATCATGAAGATAACTGGATAAAGGTACAAGATTCCTAATTTTTAGCCAAACATTGAGTATGAATGCACATATGGGAAAGGAGATATGTTCGAACCCCTGACTCATTTAGTCAGAGCAAGGGAGGATAACAGGTCTGAAGCTGAGACAGAGAGATTTGTGGTAGATGATAATGCAAGTTATATATCTGAAGACCATAAGACAGAGAAAAATTTCTCTCCTCGATATACCATGGATGAGGACAACTCAATTATTCATAGAAAAGGGCAATATCTAGCTATCATGTTTTATTCTTTATCCTCAGAATCATCTCTTGAGGCTCTGCCAATGCTAGACGAATTTTTAACTTTAGAGAATCCTTTCAGAGTTATTGCAATCAACCATGATGCGGTTGATAATCTTGTACAAGGACTTGGCCCAAAAATAGAGTTGTTTACCATCCCATCAACAAAATTGACACCTTCCAAACTTGAAAAATACTCTTTACACTCGTTACCCAAGCTTTTAGTTGTGAATTCTAAAGGAGTTGTAAACTTCTTCGGGAAGCCGTCCAAGTTCAACTTTAATAGCCTAGAAAGTTATAAAAAGGATATTAACATGGATCTCAATGCTCAAGTTGATTACTCCAAGGAGAAATCTAACTTCTTGAATTTTTACACAGGAATTTTGGACAACTATGGCCAGATTTTTGGCAACTTTATTGAGTATAAAATAGAGTTCATTGAAAGAACCTGCGCTGCTTATCTGGAAACAAAAAGTTATATAATTCGCATTTTTATATATGCAATTAGAAAGTCACAAGGAGACGCATACTTCATATCCTCCCTCTTTAGAGAAAACACTGGGTCATGGTGTACTATCTACGAGACGATCAAAATTGAAGATACAGCAAGTGTATCCAAAGGGCACAAGTGAAACCAGTGAGGTACTAAACTAGATCACACACAGTTTATCTGACTCGAATGCGAGCATGCTCATTTCTGCGAGAAATGAGTGCAGAAAGATGTAAAAAATTTCAAACAATATCATAGCAACTACTTCTGTAGGGCTATGTGTCATGGAAAGCATGCTCTTCTTTGTGTCGCACCTGATACTAAGACAGAATATCTTGACGTTCTCCTCTACAAGTCTCAGACAGTCGTGCCTGAAAGCTTCTATGATGAAGATGATATTCAAGGAGAAGATCTCCAGCAGAACAAAATTACGGATTTCTGTGATTTCTGCTCTAGAGCAATTAAAAGGTATTTTTGCCTGATAATCTATATAGAATCGCCTGGAAATGTCTCAACTGAAGATCTCTTACTATATGAGACAGATGACGCACAGAGAATGATCCTGAAGACGAAGATGTATTGGTTGAACATGAGCTTGATCATGTATATTTAAGAAGTAAGCTCTTTTAATTTGAAACTTTAGTCCTTGATTTCCAAGATGTGGTTATTAAAGAGATCAAATCCTAAATCAATCCAAAAATATTAAGTTGGGGTTTTGGGGTTTTGGGGTTTTGGGGTTTTGGGG